GCTGTGCTTCAGCCTCGGCTCCAGCGGCTAGCAGGTGGCTTCCTCCGCCGCGTCCTTTCCCTGGCGCTCAAGTGCGTGACAGGAGCCTGGAGTTATTAGTTCCCCCCCCCTCTGCCCTCCCTCGCTCGAGGGGAGGGGAGAGGTGGGGAGCGAAGTCACGCCGCCGAAAGTTGCGTAGTCTTGAGGGGCCAGGTCGCCCCTGCGGGAGGCGGCGGGGCGGGTTTTATCGGCAAGGCAGGTTCCCGCTTCTCCTGTTCGCAGGCAGCTGTCAAGGGCCTCTCTGGCCCGTTTTCTCTGCCTGCTTGCCTCCCCAACGCCTCCCTTCCCAGCACCGCCAATAAATGATGCAGATGTCCAGAGAAGCCCTGGGCTGGGGGAGACGCCGGGCGACCCCCGTTTTAAGGGCTGCCCTTTAGAGGAAAATCAAGGAGCTTTTTTAAAAAAAATCTTCTCAGTCTCATTATTTTAGGTTGTGGCAGCCATGAGCGCAGCTGTCCCCAAATCAGACACATAGTCTCTGCATTAATGCTCACTTTTGAGAAGTTTGCTTGGGAAGGTAGCAGAAACTTTCATTCTGTCCTCAGCTTCTGCTGAGGATCTCAGAACAAGTCTTGGACCAAATACCTGTATATTGCACACCTAATGCACTCTGTAGCACGACTGCACTTGAAAATCCCCAACATGGCCATCATTCTGTTTACATTGGGGAGATGCCGCTTTGTTCTGTGTTTTGCCACACAGACTGACCCATCAGGAAGGACAACTTTGTAACTGATGTTTTCACTCTGTTCTTTTTATCTCACACTGACTCGCCATATAACACTTATTTATTCCGAAGAGTTCCAAAAAATGTTTAACCCAAACTGTTGCAGTCATATTTTCCTTCAGCATCAACCATTTTTTTCCAAGCATCAACCAGCTGCAGCAATTTCCAGAGCAAAAGTAGCAAAATCTTTCTCTAGTTTGTATTGTAGGACTTTTGCCCCATCTGTGTTGAGGTGTAAATTTTTATGTAGTTGTTGATTATGTAGCAAATCTCCCTTTTCTGTTTATCAACGCGTCATAAACATTTAATACACACACACACACCCAGACTAAATAAAATTATCTCTGGGATTGAAATTCAGCTTGGCTACTTGTTGGATTTTATTTTTTTATTTTTTGCCTTAGGGGGAAGGTGGGAGGAAGTTATGGTAGAATTTAAAATCAGTATATATTTTTACAGTTGAGATCTGTGAGTCAGCTCCAGAAGAATTCTAAAATTATGCTTGCAGATCTTTCCCTGGATAGAATTTCCCATTCTGAGAGTGTTTTATTCATGTTGTAGGAACCTTTCCAGAAGTACTCCTATGGGGGATAACTACCTTATTATTACAGTTATTTATATTTCATATTTTCAACAGATAGAGCCAAAAGCACTCAAGATGAATTACTTTGAAAGAGGGAGTTCTAAGTCTGGGAAAGGAATACTGATGTGCAGAAAACTAGACAGTGCACAGTATCTGCTTCATTAATAACATCATACCTTGGAAAGAAAAGAAATAAGAGAACTAGAATTATATGTCATCCTTGCTTTTAATCTGACTGGGCTGTTGAGTGATATTTTCCTAAATAGAGGGCCACTGCAAATGGTACAGTGAAAATGGATTCCTGTATTCCCATTGCAGTTATTGTAGTTTTTTTTTTCAGCAAGGTATAAAGAGCACTCATATGTCTAAATTCCAATGGTCCACACACATTTCAAAACACATATGGTCTGTTTCCCATATGGTAACCATCTTTCACAAGATATACAAATGCTTTCCAAAATTGATAGGTAGAAATGTACCAACTCAATGAAAATATGAGGATTTACATGCAATTGATTTTAATGTGCACTGTGGCTCCTTCTGTGTAATCAGTGTGTTCTGAAGTAAAAAAAGCAATCCATTGAGTCTTATGATATGACATGACCAACTTCTAAAAATGTCCCCTCTTTTTTTTTTCAGACCGTGATGCAGTTATTTTTCATGAGACCATTTTTTACTGGACAGTATTTTACTGGCTGGTTAAATACACCAGTCAGTTAAATTTACTAAATTGACCAATTTATTAGCCCAGTGCTCTCCAAATATTTCAGCAGGAGGGCCACATCATATATGTTCCAGATTTTTGAGGGCCAAAGGAAGCTGCACATACACAGTGGCACACATGAATCCCCCACACTTCTGCATGTCCCCACGCATGCACTCACACACATATACATGCAGGCACACTTGCATTACCACATGCCCGCCCACCTGCACTCCGGCCCACGTGCGCACTTCCACCTGGCCGCCCACTCACACCCACCTACCCGCCGGACCAGATAAAAAGGCAAGGTGGGCCGGATGTGGCCTCTGAGCCATAGTTTGGAGACCCTTGTATTAGCCCATGAATGCCAGATGCACAAGTCTTTTAGATTTTAGGAAGTTTAACTTTATTCATAACTTTTGCTACACTTTTAATAAGACAATGTAAAGTAAGTACAATGAATACAAAATAATTTTCAACATCGTTTTCATAAATATAAATCAATACTTTACTTGTTGCTGTGAATTGTGTTTCACCTAGCACTGAAATCTGAAAATAGCACGCCTGTATTTAGGTGTGATTTTGATACAAATGTTAAGTTAGCATTTTGCCTTTAATTGTATGAAAGTGGAATTTCCCCATCATTTCAGCATTACCGTGAATGACAAATGGAAGTTTGGAGGTGCTGTACCGCTATTATAGGCCTCTTTCAGAGGGGTCTGACTAGCTTTTTCTCTTGGTGCATTCAGGAAAACAGCAAATGCTATTCTGTTTCAGCATACATTTATTAAGTCCTCATCTTTTTGTGCCAGAATGGTGTTGCTGTTGTTTTGAACTATGCCCCCAGAATGATACATTAATTCTGTTTTAACAGTCTTTGTTGTTGTTTTGTATGAATCATTATAATATATATATATATAATATAATAATTCATACAAACAACCACAAAGAGTGTTAAAACAGAATTAATGTATCATTCTGGGGGCACAGCTCAAAGCAACAGCAACACCATTCTGGCACAAAACGATAGATATATGCATATATATATATATATATATGGATGTAAACTACCAAGGGGCCCCTTTTAAGGGCAAAACACTGGCAGATAAATAATTTGAGGCTGAAGAAAGTAATCAAGATTTTTACTTACTGTAAAGCGATATATAACAACCGTTGCTGTCACATTGTTTTAATTTTAATTCCAGCTTACATGGCAGTAAACTACAATAAAGATACACCATTAGAAAACAGAAAAGAAAAGAACTTGAATAATAAGCATGCACATCAAGTCTTTTGCTGAATTGGTGGGACCTGGTTGTAGGCTAAAGACTTTTCCTGCTAGATACAATAATTAGTTTCATAATCTTGCTCTTCGTTTTATGGACATAGGTATCACATGAAGGGGAAGGCATTGTGTAAAACATAAGAAATATAGAGCAAGTGGAATAGCTAGCTTTTTTTCTGTCATTTTAATGCATGCAGACAATTGTGAACATTCTGTTCAGTTACAACATAGACAATTGCTTAGGGGCATTTACTCACTTGAGGAAAGGTGTTGTTGTTTTTTCTTCCACTCTGACCCCCACCCTGGTTGCCAGACACAGCTAGGGGATAATTGCAAAAGAAATAGCTCTGTGGTTAAAAGGTAGGAGAAAAGTGGCAAAATAGCATTGCATGGCATTGCCTTCCTGCTCATAAATCATCATATAAAATGCATGAAAGACTGTAGGCAACAAAATGACACATGCAGTAGCTGCAAAACACTTTTCTTACTGAAATTAGGCATTTAGAGGAGAAAAGAACTCTTTTTATGAAAAAAAAATAATGCTGCAAGTCTATTTCTTCAGTTTAAAGAAGTTTTATTCTTTCTCTAAAGTAAAGTCAAAAGAATATCGGACTAGATTGACAGTTAATGCAACTGGCAGAGGAATGAGTTTCTTAACTCCACTTGGAATATATAACTGTTACCTAAAATTCCAGATATGAATAGTTTTCTATCATCTCTTACTAGAATGAAGTATTGTCACACACCCCCAGTGACCCCTGTGTGTTTTGCCTCTCTCACATGTTCACGTTTGGACATGACTTGTACTTTTCCCCTTTTGTTCGCTGCCACCAGAGGATATTATTCTCAATATATCAATTATCCAGAATTAGCTGGAGTTTTTACGGATATTTTCAATCTATCCTTGTTGCAGTGTTCAGTCCCCACTTGCCTGAAGACATCTATTATAGTGCCAGTCCCCAAGCAGTCAGCTGTGGTATCTCTCAATGATTATAGACCAGTAGCTTTAACATCTGTTATTATGAAATGTTTTGAGAGATTGGTGCTGGATTACATTAAGGCTAGTCTTCCACCTTCTTTGGACCCATGGCAATTTGCATACAGGAGAAATAGATCTACTGATGATGCTGTGTCCGTTGTACTCCATACTGTATTGAGCCACTCAGAACAACAGGGAACTTATGCGAGGCTGTTGTTTGTGGATTATAGCTCTGCTTTTAATACCACTCTACCAAACAGGTTGTTTTTTAAAATGATCAACCTGGGATTACCTCAGAAGATCTGCGTGTG